GCTGGACGTGCGCGATGCCTGGGGCCGCCTGCCCGTGGACCTGGCTGAGGAGCGGGGCCACCGCGCTGTCGCCGGGTACCTGCGCGCAGCTGCAGGAGACTGATGGCAGGTACCCCCAGCCGCCCACAACGACATTTCTTTTCTCCCCTGTTCCCCACCCCCAACTTAGTTCAAGGGAGGCTACAAATGTGGAGCGGCGGAAAGCCTGAAAGCCTTCCAGGAGACTTGACTCACCGTGGGGGAGGAGAAGCAGACCGTGAACACATTTTTTTTTTCTTTCTACTTTTCCCCTGGATCCCGCCCTCACACTCACGGTGCAGCCAAACGCAGAGGTGGTGCAAATGGATTTCCAGAGAGATTTAGGAGCTGAACCTGAAGCTCCCAGGTGTCGTTCACTTTTTAGGGTTTTCTGGCAAAAAGCGGCCTATAAAGTCCCTAACGACCCCAGGTGTCTGCCAAACTTCACTGGAAGCACGCTGGCGGCAGAGTGGGAGGCGGCGATGATTGGCATTTGAGCAGGAGGCAGATAGCACGTTTGCTCTTTGACCTCGAAGGAGCGTATCGGAAGCCCCTACATTGGGTTTGAGGCGCCGGAGGCTAGAACGAAACCTCTGAAGACTGAGGAGACGACAACCACGATGCCGAAGACTAGTTGGACAGTAGACGGCATCAGCAGGTGCCCAAGGCTTTATAGGCTGTGTGTTGCCACCCAAGTCACCTGCGAAGCCCTGGGGACTTGCGCCCATTTCCACCGGATAGTGACGGGAAAGGAGGATGTGAGAGCCACCTTGAATCTTCCCACAGGTTCTACCATCCCTGGGTCAAGACGACACAGAACCGCTCCCGGAGAGGGGCAGGTGCTTGCTGTTTGTTATTCAGTCGAGGGGAGATTCTTGGGGAGTTCCAGAAGTCAGCGCACAGGATGACGTGCTGGATTGTAGGGAGAGCAACTGTCGCGATTAACTGTAACGACTTGCTTCATCTATATACGATAGGATAAAGAACCCCCCCCCCCGTGAAAAGATTTTGTGATATTTTGTACTTTTGAGTTGTTTTTCGGTAACACTCCTACTGGCTTTAAATAACAAAGTAACTCATGCTCCTCGGTGAGGAAGAAGTACAGCTTTTAAATGAAGCTCTGTCACAGTGCTAAAGCTTAGACCCATTCATCCCTAACCTATTTATTTCTTTGTTAAATTTTCTGACCGTTTCCTTTACTAGAGTGTCTCAGGGGGTCAAACTATGAAATATTCCAAATATCTTTTAGAAAACAGATGCACTTGCCCAGTAAATTATTTCGGGCTATTTCCCAAAGGGTTGCTGAAAGAGTAAATTGAGTATAAAACTGTTGAAAATATATGATGATGGCTCATGGAATTTCTTCATATCTGCTGAACAAACTAAAGGTGTACTGCTTTGGGATTTAATGTCCAGCGTTGCTTGATTCCTTACAGCATTGGAACTGATACTTCAATGCTTTAATAAAGAAAAAACAATAGATTGGACTCAAAGATGTGGATATTTTGGTTTAAAAATGTATGATCATGGATTTACTACCACTAACTCCTGAGAAATGTTAAAGACTCAAAGAGGTTCACTTCTCTCACTCTTTTTAATAATTATTGATAAATGATACCAACAACAATTTATAAAAAAAAAAAACTGCTACACATACTAGGAAAAGATTTATGGGGTGTGTGTGAGAGAGAGAGAGTGAAAGAAACATAAAAAAAACTAATCTGAGAGACCAAAAGAAGGGGTTTCTTTAAATTGAATAAAAAAATCTTTACTTCCCCATCAATTCTTTATACCCAAATAAATACATTACTGGGGAAAGTTTGTTGAGAATCAGAGCATTTCTTATTGGGAAAAATATGTAAGCACTTATTGACACATAACTTGTGCCGGACATACATTAAAATATATTTGTTCATTTAATACTTAAACCTGAGAGATAGGTATCATTTCCCAGATGAGAACAAGATAGAGAAATATTAGTTGATTATTTTTTATAATAG